TTTTTTAAAAAGCAGCAGAGTCGCACCTCCTCCTCACACCTCCTCCTGCTGCTACCACCAACAACAAATGTGGGGGACGGAGCGGTAAGGATATCCGTGCGGGAAAGCTGCCGTCCTGGGCTGACCCCTGAGGCTGCCACTGGGGCTCTGCCGGTGGGGCTGCCCCGTGGCCGGGGAAGCTGTAGCTCTCCTCCTGCTCCTCATTCGTCTCTAACAACACTGGTTGAAGTGGCATCTGCTCTGCTGCGAAGATTTTTGTGATTTTCACAAAGGTTTTCCCATGGAAGTGCCAAGCTGGAGCCCAGCACTGGGGCAGCGAGACCCCAGGGGAGCCATGTGTCTCTGCGAGGGGAGATCAGCCGGTGCTGGCGGTGAGGCTAGAGGAAAGCTTTCGGTGCTCCTCACAGCGGAGGAGACCCAGCCCGTTGTCAGCTTGCTGTGCCTTTCTCATCACTCCCTGTCATTGTAGCCTTTCCCGTCGTGATGTCCATCCACCCCAGCAGTGCCTGTCTCTGCCGCGGTGAGGATGTGCCTGATGCCAGCAGAGCCTTACACACTGATCCCAGGGTGCCCGCAGCCCCTTCTGGGTGCTGAAGCCTCTGATTGCCAAAAGCGTTTCCTTCAATGATGGGTAAAAGGCACTCATCCTCTTCCCAGACACAAAGTTCCCAGGAAAGTTTTGATTTCATAGAATCAAAGAATCCCAGGGTGGAAGAGACCTCAAGGATCATCTGGTCCAACCTTTCATGGCAAAAGCATGGTCTAGACAAGATGGCCCAACACCCTGTCCAGCTGAATCTTAAAAGCGTCCGATCTTGGGGAAAACTTTTTCAGCATTTTGTTTAAAAAAGGCTAACAAAACAGCATCTAACCTGCGTACCAACACCTAACCTTTTCCCCTGACCGGATCCATGATGTGGCTGACCGGGCTTTGCTGTTGCGGTGGCATGGGCACTGTGGTCCCCCTCCACCCTGGGCTGATAAGAGCTCGTGGGGAGCGAGCAGGGCTTCCCAGGGCGATAGGGAGCGCTCGGTACTTATCTGCCTGCACAAACACGCTCTGCCGGGGTGAAGATAACAGGGGGTGCTGTGGATGGTAGCATTTGGAGGGGACACTGGGAAAAGAGCAGGAGGGGCATTCGCAGCCAATCTCTGTGCCATGAGGGTAAAATCCTGGGGTGGGACCCGCGGGGAGGGGGCTGCTGCCGTAACCCTTCGGCTGCTCTCACCGGGCGGCATTGCGGGGGGCTCGTGATCAGAGCTGGGAAGCTTTTGAGCAGTGTGAGCTGATGATGATGATGATAATTGCCTACTATAAAATAAGAAAAATGCCTGTAATAATAACACGGAGCCCCTCATGGGTGTGCGAGGCAGTGATGGGTCCCTCTCTTGTGGCAGCATCTCCATGGCCAGGGTGCAGAGGGATGCTGGCCAGAGCTTTGCCTCTGCTTGGTGGCACTGGGCTTGCAGCAGCCGTTTGGGGACCAGGTTTTCCCAGGTCTCAGTCCTCAGTTTTGGCTGGTCTCCTGGTTCCCTGGGGTCAGCGCAGGAGCTGGATGGGCACAGCGGTGTGCGAGACGCGCCAGGGCAGGGAGCCTCGCCGGCAAGATAGTCGCTAAATGGAATCAGGAAGTTGGAAGGGGAAAGAAACCCACCCCAGCTGGGTGGAAAGCTGGCTGAAAATAACGGGAAGCGAGAACAGGGGGAACATCTGGGTCCGGCTCTTGCACCACTTCCGCTGGGCGCGTGGTGGCTGCCACCTCCGGGCGGTGATGGTTGAGACTCGTCTCCTCCGTCGAGGATCACTGCGAGCAGCATGTCCCCACCGCTGCTCTGGCAGTGCCGAAACCACCAGTAGCCCGCGAGTGTTGGCTGCTGGGTTTTTCCCCCGGCGGGCTGCCTTGGATGCGGATGAGTGGCAGGTCCATTGTGGCCCCTTTGTGCCTCCCTCGGTTCTCGGGGTCCGCACAAAACCTGCCATGGAAACCAAAGGCAGCCGCTGCCCCAGGAAACCCGCAGGCGCAATTAGGAAATGCAGATATAAATGCAAATTCCTGTGCTGCCTTCCAGGGCGCAGAAAGTTGTCCCTGCGCCACTGATGTCCCTGGGCCACTGGCGTCCCCAGCTGTGGGGATGGGGGAGGCAACGGGGCAGGGCCGGGCAGGCAGCAAGAGCTGGGGTGAACCACTTTTGGGGTACCTCGGGCTCTTCCCCAGCCGCCCCGTGCTCGGTGGCAGGAGGAACGGGGCATCTCAGCCCGTGCTGAGCGGTGACTCATAGGTGACAATATGACATTGATATTTTTTTCCATGCTCTCGGTTGCCCAGCGACAAACAAACAAACAAGTGTCTTAAAACCCAAACTAACTGCCTTGCGGGAACTTGTCCCCTCCTGCCATGGTTGTGCGTGGCCGGGCTCTGGTCTGTCCCCATCACTGGCAGTTCTGTCTGTATCTTCTGGGATTTGTTTTGGGGAGATAACTGGCTGTCTTGCATCCTGCAGCCACGGTGGGTGAGCTTGGCAGAGGGAAGGCTTGCCGGTAGGAACCATCCTCGCCAAAGCACACCAAGAATAGATGGAAAAGGAGATAAAATCCACCCACAAATAACTCCGGGAAGCACAAATGCTTCAGGTCTTCATTTCTAGGTGGCATTTATGAGCAATCGATGCTTGTGCCCTTCCTTAGGTCCCCAGAGGAGTGTTTGTGGGTGGGGTGGGGATGATGGGGCTGAAGAGGATGGAGGGGAGAGGGGAGGTTAAGGAAGGATGCTGATCTGAGTGATTCCCCTCCCTGGGAGAAAGCAATAATGTTTTCCTTTCCCGTCTGCTGGAAGGGCTGTAGGTAGGAGCTGGGGAGATGAGGTTGGCACACAGAGGGCATCGTCCACAGCAGTAATCCATGCGGGGAAGGGCAGATCCTGTACGCGCTGATCTGAGCCCAATCTAGGGCTATATTGCTTAAAACCAAGTATTTGTTGATGGCTTTTATTTTTCCCAGCGGCAGCCCCTAGAGCCTTTCCTATCGGCGGCTGAAGTGGTGTGAGATGTGCGTCCCCATTAGTGGTGCTTTCCCCCAGCCCCGGTCTGCATTATTGCTGGGAAATGAGCTCTGACTCCTGGAAGTGGTATTTCTTCCTTCTGCCTGACAGCTTGTCGATCCCTGCCCTCGCTCGCTTCCCCGGGGAAGGCGCACGCAGCTGGGCACGCAGGCACGCCGGCGATGGAGCCTTGCTGCTGTCCTTGGCAAGGAAGGCAAAGCTTCAGCGGGGGGGAAATAGGCACATCGTCTCCAGAAAACGGAGCGTGGCACACTGCTAGATGGGTTACAGGGACGTTCAGGCTTAAAGCAGATTTTAATATTTGCCGTGGTTATGGAGTCAATTATAACGGTGGGTTTTTTTCTTTGCCACCGCACTTCCAGGCAGCAGTTGAACGCACTCGAGTGCAACCTTTGCAGTAGCCGGGGAGCTCCGGGGAGCGCAGGGAGGCACCGTGGGCCGCACCGGCACCCTCCTCCATCGGTCACAGCTCTGCCTTCACCTCCAGGTGCCATCTGCGAGGGAACAGGAGGGCAGGGGGGACAGGAGCCTGGGCACAGCTCGGAGGCAGGACCCTGCCGGTGCTCCCTTTCGCGCCTCTGCAGAGCTGGGGGGGGAAACGGTGGATGGAGATGTCCCTCGGCAACCCGGCCGATGGAAATGTCTCATGTGGGAGCATATGCCAGGGCTGTAAGGCAGCGGTGGGGATGGGGGGCAGCCTTTGGGGCAGATTCCCAGGCTCCTGGAGCCTAAATTGTTGCTAATAAAATCCTTGTGGCTTTGAACGTCCCTGGCTGGCAATTGCCACAGTCAGGCTGGGGTAAAGCAACCGGGATGGGATGGCGGTGGGGTGAATTAATGTGAATTAATTATGCAAACTTAAAAATAATGAAACAAGGGATTTTGAAGAAGAACGTGACCTAGTTTGGTGGCCGGGCAGAGCAAGTGGCCGGTGGGCAAAGGGGGCAGCGGGCAGAGCCGTCACTCGGGGGGTCTGGGTTTCCCTCGTCACCGAGAAATGGGGCTGTGCTGGCAGGGGAGCAAACTCTGCTGCTGAGCTTGAAAGGAGACCGAGAGCTTATCTGAGCATTGGCCTGGCTTCGAATCCAGGTTAGCATCCTGTATAATTCCCGTCTAAAACTGTGATGTGCTGTGATGGAGCAGAAGGAACGGAGCAAACTCAATACTTCATCTTTCGAGGGCTTTTCTCTCCCCCGTGAGCCCCGTCGTGCCGGCGATGCAGGAGCCTGTTCTGGAGGCTGGCTGCGAGTGCTTCTGCAGGAGGGGCCTGACGTATTGGCGTTAATTAAATATCTGTCCCTGGCGAGGTATAGCGTTTCAAGCAGGTTCTCCTCTGCTGAGCAATGTCACCCGGCGCGAGGGAGGACAAAAGACCGGCGCAATTACAGTGTGACGCTGTGTCCCAGGACAACGAGGATATGGCAGCGCCCGAATTGTGGGCTCGGTGCTTTGGCGGGATAGCTTGCATCAGCCATATGGCTTAGTGACTCATAAAAAACAACAACAAAAAAAAAAGGAGCTGCTCCATTTGCAACTTAATTAGTCCCTTTCTTCCCCCCAGTCTTGGCTCGCAGCGATCTCGACTGGTACGCGCGGTGCTGAGAGGCACTGTGGGCTGAGCGGGGCTGCGGCCGCCTCCCGCCTTCGGTGCGGGCTCATCCTGGATGCCGGCGGATGGGTGGCTGTGCCGGGTGGCTGGCATGGGCACCGGGCAGGAGCCTTGTCACTGGCTTTATGCCATGCCGTGCCGTATAGCGAGGGGCTGGGGGGGAGGGAGAAGTGAGGGGTCCTGCTTGGGAGGGCAGGCTGGTGTCTTCTGAGTTACCTTTGGACCCAAAATACCTGCAGGACAGCCCCGGGGCTCCCTCGGCTTGCCCGGAGAGGCTCTGCCAGGGCGTCCGTGCCCGCTCACCTTCCCGGAGGGCAGGCAGGAGCCAGCCGATGAGCAGCCTGGCAGAGTCCCTGCGCTCGCACGCCTGCTCGTCGGTACGGTCAAGGTTTTGTCAAAAAACCAACCCCGTAGGAAGGCGCCGGCTTCGGACGCCTGCAGCTCTCCTCTCTCACACCCGCTTTCTCCTGTCTGCTCATCACAATCTCCCTGTCGTCCCCCCCGTGCCGCCCTCGGCCTCTCCCCAGGGACACCTGAAGCTGCAGACGTGGTGATGGAGGTGCAGGACCTTCCCAACAGGTTTCATGACACACATGGCGTGGAAACCCAGGGACTTTCCTCCTCCTCGGCTGTGGTTCAGTGCCCACAGGGCAGGGGTTGCCAGCAGCCCCACGCACTGATCACCTTTAAATCTTTTTACCAGACCCTAATGGCCGGAGGCCTGTCCTGGTAAATAATTCACCGTGCCGTCAGTGAGAGTTTTACTCGACTAATTTTGTTTCCATAGAAACTTCTGCGGTCTCACTGCTCCACGGAGCCTCGGGCAAATCAATACGGATTTTTTTTTTTTTTGCTTTGCACATTAAGTGATGGCCCTCAAACCCCAACGGGTGGAGAGCAGCAGCCGGAGATGCTGGTGGCTGGGCAGCACCTCAGTGCTGCCTTCGCCTCCGTTGGCCTGGGTCTGCCCTGCCTGTCCCTGCTGGTCTTCTGGCTTTGCGGGATGTCCCGGGCTGGATCCTGCAGAGATGCTCTGGCCCAGTCTAATCCCGGTGCATTCCCAGTATGTTCCTGCTATGCAAAGAACTGGAGGGGAAGGGGCTGCCTCTGCTCAGGCTCTTTCTCCATTTTTTTTTTTCCCCTCCCATCCTTTAATTTCTTTGACCCTTGACCTAAAATGGCAAATTAGCATTTGTGAATCAGCTGCGCTAATTAGCCAGAGAGCGGGGCTGGCCCTGCCCCCAGCCTGGGTTTGCTTTCGCCCACTCCCCATTAGGTGCTCGCTGACCAAATCTAACCCAAAAATTGCCCAGAGGTGGCTCCTCCGCACACCCTGACCTGGGCCCGGCCCTGGGGAGAGCCGCACACCTTTGTGTCTGCAGGAATTTTTATGTTCTTTCACTCCTCATGGCTTCCCGGTGCTTTTGTGCTGAGGCGGGAGCACAAAGGGAGATGAAAGGATAAGCGGTTAAAGATGGGTTTGTGTGACATATGGCGCGAGGGCTTTGCATGACGGCTGCAGCCGGCGCCGGGGGGAACGCGAGTGGGCACGGAGATGCCTGGGCTTCCCTCCTGCGAGGCTCGAGATGGATGGGTAAACTGAGGCAGGGAGATGGGCGATGGGCGCAGGGCTTTCCCGCGGGACGGAGGCAGCGCTGCCACCCTGACCTTGCTGCTGTCGCCTGCGCCTTTGCACCGGGCAGCGCTTGCTCCTCGCAGCCCTTTCAAACAAGCTCTAAGCTGATTTTTCAGCTGGGACGCGTGTGTTTTGATGTCAGCGGTGAAAGCCGGAGGAGGAAAGGTCGCTGATATTCAGTCACTTCGTGGAATAATCTTCTATCTGCCTCTCTGCTTTAGGCAACCTCTTGCATCTAATTTATTGCACGTTGATACAAGGTAGAGTTGAACAGGGATGCAGTTAGACCGTACAAAGGGATGCTGGGTTACTTTAATCACTCACACTTGCTTGACCTATTTTTTTTTTTTTTTAATCCCTTCCTGGAAACCTTATTTCATGTTTGAATTCCCTCAACTATTTTAGGAATGTCGTCCTAGCAAGATCAAATTACCTTCAATGAAACCAGCGCAAGGCAGCCTCGCAAGGCAGGCGACTTTTTGATTAAGATCTAGTGCTACCTCATTAATATAGGCTTAGTTTGGGGCGGGGGCTGTAATTCTGGCATGGCAAATGTGTGAAAGCCAGGGATTAGCGCGGCACAATGCCGAAGGGCAGGGGGGTGGCTCTGCCCTTGGCTTGGCGGAGAGGGCTGGGGGCATCCCGGGGTGGCCGGCAGTGCCGGGACACCCGGAGCTGGGCAGCCCTGCGGGTCCCGCTGCATCCCGGCACGGGCAGGGGGAAGGTGGGTGCTTCGGGTTCTGCTCTGTGGGGATGAGGGGTCCCCAGCAGAGCGCCTGTCCCTGCCGAGTGCGGCCCCCCAAGTTTTATCTGGATGTCGTTGGTTTATGAGCCGGCTGGGTGCTGCGGAGGGCCGACATCTGGTCGGCTCACAAAGGGCCCTCATAAATCTGTCCGGGAGATGGCATGGCTGGCGGCGGCTGGGCAAGCAATGGGTGCCCCGAGGCCGCTGCCGCTTCTTCTCTTAAACGTGGGTATCGTGTATTTCAGAGTGCGGGTCTGGCTGCGGGATCCCCAGTAAAACCCTCAGGTGAGAGCGCTTGAGCGGTAACGCTAACGATGCCCGGTCGGGACCAGAATCGCTCCACGGCTCTCCCCGGTCCCCTCTCGGCTGCTCCTCCGGCTCTGAGCACTCCTCTCGGAGCCCAGAGGGGAATTTCGTTTTGCAGAGGTCCGTGCTGCACAGGCGCTCAAGCAGAGCTTAATTCTGCTCTCCTCCCTGATTGCTTTTTACTTTGAAAAGGGCTTAAACCCAGCCATTTTAATACGTGGTAGAACAAGAATTAAAGGGGATCCTCAGGTGCTTATTTGTTTCTGTGAAAAAGGATTTGCTGGAAAGCAGTTTTCCCAGGCTGCCAGCCGGGAGGTGTGCATGCGCATCCCCTGAGGCGGACAGAAAGGTGGTGTAGGGGATTTTGGAGAGACTGATAAGGCCTCATCCTGCACATCCTCGGCGTGTGCTCTGCCTTTCAGTGTGCTGGTAGACACTGCTGTCATTTTTCTTCTTGATCATTCACTTTTCATCTCAATTTCAATCCTATTAGAGTCACACCTGCAGCCGCCGAGCAGTCATATTCCCAGACTTCTTGTTCCTGTAGCGGGCGATCCCTTTGCCGGGGCCGGGCTGCAGACAGAGCTCGGCAAATCTGCTCTGGCCGAAGCCGTTATTTCTGGTTTAATGTCCCTAGTTTTGAGATGAGCGCCGAGCGTCTTCCCGCCAGAAGCCGGGGCACTGGCAGCCCTTGTCTCTGGATAATCCCGTGCATGGAAATGCCTTCCGCGCTTCTGTCCCGCATCCCCCAGCCCAGTCATTACAGCGACGGTGCCCTCGGGGGAGCGCTGGGATGGAGGGAGCAACTGCTCCATGGTGTCACCCCCGAAATGGGGGTCGTGGCTCCGGCGTGTTTGCAGCGATGATCTACAAAGGCAGCGTGGCAATAGCCGGGGGAAAAGGGCTGGGCTGGTTTAGCGGTGTTTGAGCAATCCCATCTGTTGTCTGAGCTGCAGCAGACACTGGGGAAGGGAATATTCGCGTTCGCGCTCGGTGCCAAAGCTCTTCCCTGAGCTGCGAGGGCTGCGAGCAATCAGTCCCACTGCTTTTACAGCTGTTCGCTCCTCCGTTCGGGCTGCGTTCCTTGCAGAGCTGAGCAACTGTTGTTTCCAGCATGACATTACCGGTTCGACCAACCCCTGGGATTATCCAGCTGCTCGGCTGCGCGGTTCCCGGATGGCTGAGGGCCGGGCTGCAGGCAGCCTCCTCCGCACCTTGCACCGCGCTTCCTCCCGGCTGGAGCTGACCCGAAGCACCCACAGCCTCTCAGGCCGTCCCTCGATGTGAAAAGTCCGTTTCTGCGAGGTATCGAGTGCCCCGCTCCCAGGGCTGGGTGAAAACCAGCTTTGGAGAGGCGGGATGCCGGCCGCACCGGAGGATGTGCTCCTCCAGGCTGTGCATGCCTTATCTGCTCCCCGATGAGCGTAATTAAGGGTTTCTCTGTGGCTGCTGAGGTCTTGTTCTTGGCTCTGACTCAGGCTAGAGCGGATCTGAGTTGTGCAAGTCGTCAGTGGCTCCGGCAGGAGAAAAGGCAGGGTGCACCCGTGGGCTCGCAGGGGTGAGCCTCCTCCCCGAAGGTCAGCTCTTGTTTGGTCTTATTTTATGTTTTTTAAGAGGTGAGCTAACGGCAGGAACTGGACCCAAAGGTGTGCCGATGCCTGAATGCAGCGTGCAGTGAGAAAGCAACTGTGGACGTGCGTGGGAGAGCATCCCGTGCCATCCTGGCTAGGCGGCGGTGGCAAAACCTGCGTGGGCTTTTTTTGCGCTGTCCCCCATCCTGGAGCACAGCGCCGCTCGGGTGGTGCCGGGGTTTGGATGAGTGAATAACAGCGTGCAGGGTCCTTTTTGCATGACAGCAGCGAAGAACTCTTTTAAGGCAGGAAGAAAGTTGATCAGGCACCAGCTAAACGAGTCATCGCAGCCCAATTCTGCACACGAGAGGCAGGAGGTGAGGAGAAGCACAGCCCACAGCCCACCGTGCCCACAGCGAGCCCGTGCTTGCGCCTGGACGCCCACTTTCTTCTTTCCTTTTTGGGAAATCCAAAGGATTTTGCTTTTCCTGGTGTTTTCCAACCCCTCACAGAAATAAGGCCCCGGGCTGGGGTCCGTGCTGGCAGCCAGGGGTCCCGCTGCCCTCCCCACTGCTCACCTGAAGACGCTGATGCGGACAAGTAGGAATTGGGGAGGATCCCGCAAATACAACTACCGGGTTGTCTTTGAAATGAAA